TCAACGCGTCTCATTTGTTACTGCGTATAAATTGACACTATCTGGGGCACGTCGCACGCGATGAGTACCAACCAAAAATACACACAGGACATTTTAAGTAGCTCAAAACAAAACATATTCGCTATTTTTCGTTTCGAAAACATCTACGGCGGCTTAAAACCCTGCACCTCGTCCTGCATGTTTTTTTTTTACCAGGCAGGAGACGCCGGTCAGCGTGGCATTGCCCCAGTGGTTTCCACTGTGCATCCAGTAGTTAACGCCGACATCACGGTCTATACATTCCACATGAAGCATGGTATTCAGCTTAACCATACTGTAAAGGGGGTAATTATTCACTGGGTTTTAATTTAGCTTATTTCGCTGACTGGAAAAATGCGCTAAATTAAAACACAGTGAATATGTAAAATTTAGCATAGAACACATTATCTAAATGATAAAACCGTGAATTTAAAACCCACTGAATATGCCTGAAATGGTAAATCAGTGAAATTTAAACCCAGTGAAAATTAGTCATTTTACAGTATTTTCTTTTTTGCTCCATGGCTTAACATAATAAGAACAGTAACTTGGGCAATAAATGTGCCTTCCGATTTGAGGGATATCGTGCCATGTAATATTCAATGAAAACAAGCCATGCATGGCACAGTCCCAGTTAGTTATCAAATTTAAGATATAAAGTTTGGTTTATAGTAATAAACATGTCAGGAATATGAAGATTGTTTAACATTTAAATGATTGACATTTGTATCTGATCGTCAAACGAAAGATATTGCTCTGGAACAGCATTAATTAAAACAAAATCAGCCATTATGAATATATGTATAATGAATATATGAAATTTGAACATAGTCAGTCAAAGCATGTCAGAGATATGGCTCTAAAAGTCCATTCATTAAAACAAAATGACCACGAGTCAGCCATTCAGAATCCGATCTAAAAAATAAAAGAAGTTTTTTAACACAAAAATAGCCACCATTAGGCCACTTTGAAAAGGATCGTCAAACCAATATATCCGTATATCTGTGACATGATGTATAATGAATATTAAAAACATGAACATAATTAGTCAAAACAAGTCAGACATTAAGTCATTAAAATACAAGTGATTGTCAATGACACGTCCCTGTTCCGTTCATATTTGAGTGACATATACATTCAAAGCAGATCATGACCGAAATGCACCTGCATATGTACAACACATTGTGCTAAATCTGAACAAAATCCATCCATGCATGACTGAGATCCGGTTCTGGAATTGTGAAAATAGGTGATTTTGATGCATTTTCGGCATTAAAATGGCCATCATTCCGCTATGTTAAGCAGATCATGAAACAAATGCACATATATTTGTGACATGATGTACCTTGTGTGTGAAGTTTGAACTCGATCAATCCAAGCATGTCTCAGATACGAATCCAGAACTGAATTCTTTAAAACAAAATGGCCGCCAGTCGGCCATTTCGAACCCAATCCAAAAAAAAAAAAATGACGTGCATCAAGGTCCTATTATGTTTAATGTATGTACCAAATTTGAACAAAATCCGTCCATGCATAACTGAGATCCGGGTCCGGAATGGTGAAAATGTGCGATTTTGATGCATTTTCGGCCTTAAAATGGCCGCTATTCGGCTATCGTTAATCGGATCATGAAAAAAATGCATGTGTATATGTCCCATATAATGTGTGATGTATGAGTGAAGTTTGAACTTAATCGGTCCATGCATGTTCGAGATACAGGTGATCACGGACGCACGGACGGACGGATGGACGCACACAGGGCAAAACATAAGTCCCCGTTTTCGGACTGCCGAACGGGGACTAATAACTTGAACACATTATCAAGCATGTTATACCAAACTACCTCCTCTAGCTAATACCATATTTGTTCCATTAGTAACAGATACAGATCAAAATAAACTCTACTTTTATTATATCAGCAAACAATTAATGCAATTTTTGGTTTATGTGCTCTTCTATTGTAAACACTTCTCATTTTCTGTATTTGTAATTAAAGGTTATAAAACAAATGACCTGTCAGGGTTTTGAGGTCAAAACTTTGTATAGAGAAGTGCTTGTCATTCTATAACCAGCTTTAAGTATGCATGGGCATTCACAGTCTTGTTTAAACTGGGTAACTTTTGTCCATCACATGTTAATTTCGATATTGGTCTCACTAATTGATCAATGTGAATTTTGGTAACATAATTGACATATAATCCAAGCAATTTTTGCTGCAAATTGAGAGATTCCATGTGGTCCAATGGCTAGTCCAAATGACATTTGATTATAGCAACATCATACTGTGATCCGATTGGTGGTAACAACCCAGTCATTTTTTTAAATATTAAATCAAAAATTTTTGAAAATAAGCCTACTTAAAAATATGCATAAAAAGTCTACACAAAATTGAAACATTAAAAAGAAAACTGAAATATTTCATAAAACATTGGGGAAAATGAAATGCAACAAAAATAGTAAACAAATAAATGCCCAAAATAAACTTATAGGGCATTTAAAAATATTTTAGAAATTTAGTTAACACGGAAAACGTAAAGTAGCAAGAACAACTATGTAAATTTCTGACAAATAATCACAATCTAAATATCTAAAATTCAAACCACTATCTTAATATCAATATGTATGTCAATAAATATTATATTTATTTATTTTTAGTTACATATATTATAAGGAAGGCATCACAATCATTAGAGCCCCTTCGATTGGTTTGTATATCCCGCGAATCGACATGGTAAAACTACAAGCATCATACAGCTCAGTACCATAACAAATATTAATAATTTAAGTAATCC